AATGAACTAATAACTTTTGAGAACTGTGTAACCCTTGAAAATCTGGAAGGAATTTCCGATAATGGGTCGCTTGAGCTGAGAGTTGAAGAGGACTCATGTGAGGCAAGCGATGAGAGACCAGCGCGCACTGAGCCCATAGAGCAAGCGATGAGAGAACAAGCAAGCGACACCAACAAGAAGGATGAGTTGAAGAAATAACCTGAGCACCTCAAGTACATATTCCTTGGCCCGGAGGAGAGTTACCCGCTGATAATCTCCACCTAATTGTTGCCGGACCAAGAGGCTCAACTCATCTCACTTCTCAAAAGAAGGAAAACGGCGTTTGCATGGAAGATCACAGACATCAAAGGAATTAGCCCAGCGGTGTGCATGCACTATATTAGGCTGGATGCTAACTCTAAGCGATGCAGACAACCTCAGCGGCGACTAAATGAAAATATGCAAGAGTGCTAAAGAAAGAGGTGATCAAGCTGTTCGATGCAAGAATCATATACCCTATTAGTGACAGCCAGTGGGTCAGCCCAACCCAGGTGGTTCCCAAGAAAGGAGGCTTTGTTGAAAAAACAAGCGACGAGGGGGAGGTCTTCATGACAAGACCTGTCACTGGATGGAGGGTCTCTATCGACTACAGAAGATTGAATGCAGCCACGAAGAAGGATTATTTCCCGTTTCCCTTCCTTGATCAATGCCTTGAGAAGCTCGCAGGAACAAATACTACTATTTCCTCGATGGCTACTGAGGCTACCACCAAATTCCCATCAAGCCGGAGGACTGTGAGAAAACTACAGTCACTTGTCCATATGGGACGTTCACTTACAGGAGGATGCCATTCGGGCTCTGCAATGCCCCAGCCACCTTCCAGCGGTGTATGTACCATATCTTCAGTGATCTCCTGGACTCCTGCACAGAAGTATTCATGGATGACTTCTCGGTCTATGGCAAGACATTTTCCAGATGCCTAAATAACCTGGAAAAAGTGCTTCTCTGCTGCATTGAGATTGATCTCGTGTTGAACTGGGAGAAGTGTCATCTGATGGTAAATGAAGGAATTGTCTTAGGCCATAAGATCTCTCATGCCGGTATTGAGGTAGATAGATCGAAAATTAGTGTAATCGAAAAGATGCCAACGCCCTCGAATGAGAAAGGAGTGCGAAGTTTCCTTGGACACGTGGGGTTCTACCGTCGTTTCATCAAGGGCTTCAGTCAAATCACACAACCGCCTACCGCATTGCTGTGCAAGGATTCTCATTTTCACTGGTCAAGCGAGTGTGAGGAGGCTTTCCTCGTTCTAAAAGAGAAGCTGACCTCTGCTCCTTTAATTTCAGCACCAGTGTGGAGCGAGCCATTCGAGTTGATGACGGACGCAAGCGACTTTGCCGTAGGCACTATACTAGGACAGAGAGTGGAGTCCAAGTTGAATGTTATCTACTATGCAAGCAAATCGCTAGATTCCGCTCAAAAGAATTACACTACAACCAAGAATGAGCTGCTAGCTATTGTCTTCGCTTTCGAGAAGTTCAGACAGTATCTTATCGGAAGCAAGACCATTGTTCACACTGATCATGCAGCTATCAAGTATTTGATGGAGAAGAAGGAGACAAAGGCTCGATTGATCAGATGGGTCCTATTGCTCCAAGAATTTGACATAGAGATCAAGGATAAGAAAGGGAAAGAACATCATGTGGCAGATCACCTCAGTAGGCTAAGGCAAGAAGAGGACATATCTCCTGGAATCAATGAATATTTCCCAGATGAGAAACTGTTCCTGGTACAAGCGAATGAGCCATGGTTTGCTGACCTGGCCAATTTCTTAACTACAGGACAGTTTCCAGCACATACTGTACAACGGAAAAAGAAGAGATTGCTCAGTTTGGCAAAGGATTATTTTTGAGATGAACCCTATTTGTTTAATATCGGCTCAGATGGGATAATCCGCCACTGTGTAGCGGAATATGAGATCACGCTGATCTTAAATGAATGTCATGAGTCCCATGTAGGAGGGCATTTCGCTGGCTTGCGCACAATGGCCAAAGTTTTGCAGTCAGGCTTCTTTTGGCCTACCCTACAGAAAGATGCAGATGTCTTTGCCAAATCTTGCGACAAGTGCCAAAGATTGGGATCTATCTCAAAGAGATATGAGATGCCCCAAACTGGAGTCTTGTTTGTGGATATATTTGATGTATGGGGTATGACTTTATGGGTCCCTTTCCGAATTTCAATGGGAAACTATACATTTTGATGGCGGTGGATTACGTGAGCAAGTGGGTTGAAGCGCAGGCGCTCTCCACTAATGATGCTCTATCTGTGATCCACTTCCTGAAATATACTATATTCCCAAGGTTCGGGGTCCCAAGAACGATAATAACCGATGGAGGCACCCATTTTGTGAACAAGGCGCTGCAATCTTGTCTTCAACAATATGGTGTTCGTCAGCATCTGACTACCCCGTATCATCCGCAAGCGAGCGGTCAGGTGGAAGTTTCGAATTGAGAAATCAAACACATCCTCCAGACCACAGTAAATAAAAGTCGCAAGAATTGGGCGGAGAAATTGGATGATGCGCTGTGGGCATACAAAACAGCCTTCAAGACTCCAATTGGAATGTCCCCATACCGACTTGTATATGGAAAAGCCTGCCACTTACCTCTGGAATTCGAGCATCGCGCGTATTGGGCTATCAAATATCTAAATTTTGATCTTCTCCCCGCGCAGGAGAAGCGCGCTAAGAGATTGCTCAATCTAACTGAGTTCCGTTATCTTGCCTATGAGAGCGCAAAACTCTACAAGGAAATGATGAAGTTCTATCATGACAAGAATTTGAAGAAGAAAGAATTCGTCGAAGGATCCAAAGTGCTTTTATATGACAGTAGGCTCCACTTGTTCCCAGGGAAATTGAAATCACAGTGGACTGGGTTGTATATAGCCAGACAAGTGCTATCAAGTGGAGCTATAAGAATAAGTAATGTGGATAATTCTAAAGAACGTGATTCTTTCCTTGTCAATGGAGCGAGGCTGAAACCCTATATAGAAGGGCCTATTTTGCAGCAGGCCAATGCAGATATTAATCTGGTGGAGGTTCATAATCTCGTTCGAAGGTAGAATTACAAGAAGAAATCCAGAAGCCTAATCTTATATCCATCAACTTTACAGCTTTATTTTATTGCTTTCCTAGTTAAAATTTACCGCTTTCATAGTTAAAATTTACAAACTTTCTTTTATCGCTTTCGTAGATGGATTTTATAATTTTTACTGCTTTCGTAGTTAAGTTTACAGTTTTTCTTATCGTTTTCATTAGAGTAGTGTTATCGCTTTAAATAGTTAGGATTATTGCTTTCTATGAGTAGTTTAATGTTAGAATTTTAACTTCTAATCTGAGCCTGACCCAAGCCACCCATCACTTCATTTGTCTCACCCTGATACTCACTGGGGGAGCAGTATCGCTCACCCAGTACCGCTTTCATCGCCGTTTGAGTGTTACCCTTAGGTAAATAGAAGTGTTGTTTTACCCGCTCACCCGGCCTGAAAACCCACCCTTATACCTTTATAAATAAAGATAATGGACTAGGCAGCGCTCCGCTTGCCCTCCAGACAAGCGATAGAAAAATCTATAAATACCCCAGTCAACAGTCATTTTCCACTTTTGTCCTACAGTAACTTCCTCAAGAAGCTTCAGTAACCGCCACTTCTCCACACCAAAATTTTTCAAAATCTCGACTATTCAACCGATAATCACTTCATCTAAGGTAAGATATGGGTTAACCTTAGTCCATAAACTTGATATTATGGTTGATTTTCCCTGATTTAACGTTCAAAAACACATAATCACAAATTATTTTCGCGATAACAGTCTGTTCTTCATTTTTGCGAAAATGTTTATATGTTTGATTTCTGTGAATCTAGATCTATTACCTGTTAGATTTAGATATAATAACTGATATACTTGCTTCGTATGGATGAATTTTACAATAATATGTATGTTATATGTTGTTTTGTGATTTTCTTCCTTTTTCACAACGTAACACTTACAGTAGTGTTCTGTTTCATTGTGAGGGGGAGGAACTAGGGTTAAAATCAATGAAATTTGGAAATGATTGCCTGTACATAAATGTTGTTAACATTTTAAAGTAGTAATGCAAGATTCATATATTTCTTATATTAAACAATAATTTTGGAAACCCTAGATTCAGGATACGCTTGACAAAATAGATCCAGCCAAGCGAGAAGCGTTAAGAAAGGAGTTCGAGAAGGTTGAGGAGAAGGTTGAAAAGAGAGTCCAAAGGATCAAATCCATGGACGGTCGAAAGATGGTGACAACAACCTCAGGGGCTGAATTTGTGGAGCCAGCATCGCCTGAGGCATACTATCGAAGGAGGAGGGTGTTAGAGCTAACAGAAGACTGGGGGAAGCTCAGACAGCTGAAGTCATTTCCCTTAAGAAGTTTTATCCCAAAGTTCCCGGAGGACTACCTTAGATTCGATTATACTAAGGAAACATAGCAGATGTATCCGGTGAGCAACTGGTGGTTAGATTACGAAAAGCTGAGAGAGTACCAACTAAAAGAGCTCAAGGAGAAACTTGCTTTCCAGGGGGCACCGCCTAGGAGAATGAAAGCGTTCAGGAGCGACACCTCCAAAAAGAACGCGGCCGATGCTGCCAAGGATGTGTTGAGGTCCAAGTAATTTGATAGCCTCCACTTCATCAACATTGAGGCAGCAGCGACCTATGAGAAGATGAAGGCGATGGGGATCCTCTATGAGAGAGGATTTGACCCCAAAAAGATCACAGGCCCGCTCGCTGACTGGCTGGAGGAGCGGGGCCTGTCGTGGTTGATCAAAAATCCCAGTGATCCAGTGGATGTATCGCTGGTGGGGGAATTTTATGCTAATCTGAACCAGGCTGAGAGTCTAAAGAATGTATACATTCGAGGAAGATGGGTAGACTGCTCAGCCAGGAAGATCAACCGACTCCTGAGTTGGGAATACCACTACCCCACCTAGGAAATGAGGGACAAGTTAAGGGCAATCTGCAGCGCAATGGAGCCGCAGACACTTTACAGGACCTTCGCCACCACCCCTGCATACGAGAAAAGAAATTTGAAGTTTGGGTCGGTGGATGAAGAGAAAAAGAAATGGGTGAAGTGGTCGCTGAGCAGAATGATGATCACCACACACACCACTGACATCCGTCCTGACTTCCTCCTTGCCCTACGCTCGATTTTGGAGGAAACTGCTAACGTGGATTTGGGCGCAATCATCGGCATAGACATCTGGGATAGAAGAAGTGGAGATAGAACTCTTGGTCACGGGACCTTAATCACAGAGCTATGCCGATGTGCAGGCGTCAATCTGCCCACTTCAGCCCCAGAATTTCAAATGAAGCCACTGTTTCCAGCAGCCTTCCACAAAAATTGGCTGGAGTCCAAGGAGTTCACTCTTAACCCTAAGCAGAAAAAGAGGAATGCACAAGCGGCAGCGCCCCCTCCACCAAAAAGGAAAATGAAGGTTGTGGAAGGGGGGGGGGGAATAATAAGAGAGGAGATAACACCTCAAACTGAGCCCGATTCTAAGAGGACAATCTCCAATAAAACTCCCAGTGATGAGGAAGAGGAAGCCCTCCGCTTCGCTCGGGAGATAGAGGAGGATCATTTTGGCGCAGAGGTGACCAGTAGTGATAAGGGAGGAAAAGCGCCGAAAGCAGCCGCTGGCGAGAAAAGGTCAAAGGAAAAAGAAGACCCTACTCCAGCGCCTGTCAAGAAACCGAGGGTCAAGGAAGCACTCCGAAAAAATCCAACACCCCCTCGGCGAGCGACGAGGAAGGAGAAAGAGAAGGGGAAAGCGGTGGATGTGGAAGCAAGCGAAGACACAATCCTTCTTTCCAGGTTACAGAAGGGGATTGTCATCAGAGAACCCACCGCTCAACCCGAAAGACTTTCGCCAGTGAAGCCAGCGATGGTAGAGGTATCACCCGAAGTACCTAGTCTCCTGGGCAATGAACCTGTTCCCTTCGACCAGCAGGGGGCAGGTGAGCCAACTACTGCTGGAACAGGCAAGGAAACCGCACCCGTTAACCAGCCGAGAGCGGTGGAGCCTACTGCTGCTGGATTAGAGGAGGAGTGGGAGACTGTGCTTACTGAAGAAACCATCGGCGGGATCGATGTCACAGTAGAGTCCTACAAGGAATATCCCGCCGAGGTCCCCGCTGCCACAACCGCTGAAGCTGCCAATGAAGCCGAAGAGGTGGAGACAGTAATCACAAATCTTCCACTTCTGCAAGTGTCCCCACGCAGCCCAAAAACACCAACCACGACTGGGACACCTGCAGAAACTCTGACTCTGGCCTCAACCAAATCAGACAAAACAATCATCGATGAGGAGGAGGATGAAGAGGATAAGAAGTTCCAAGAGAGACAAGCTCAGCTATTCGCCGAAATACAACGCCTTGAACAACTTCGGCAGCTCGAGCGACAGAAGAAGAGGAAGATGAAGGTGCTGGTCAAGTTGCTCAAGTATTGGAAGCCGCTGACCCAACTCCAGCTGCGATTCAGGAGATACTTAGAGCGAAAGAAAGTAGAGCAGCTGGAGTATGAGGCAGCGAGGCAACTAGTATTCCTCAGGAATGTCACCCCTGAACCAGCACCCAATTCCCAAAAGGAAGAAGTGCCACTGGAGATTAGTTCGGCTGAGTCCGAGAGACAGTCACCAGCAGCGGCGGAAGCAGGACCATCAGCTCCCCGCTCGTCACTTGAAAACATTGAGAGAAGACTGGAGGAACTCGACTCAGCCATATTCAGCCAATACATGATGACCCAAACCTTAATCGATACATACGCAAGGAGTCTGGCTGATGAACTGGCCACTGGCAAGAAGGCAAATGCCGCACTAGAAGCGCGTGTAGAGGCGATGGAGACTAAAGCTGCAAGCATGGGTACAACTCTAACAGAGATTTTAAAGGCGCTCGCTGCCCTCACCCAACAAAACTCCATTCTTATGGAACAACAGCTTGACACAGCTAGAAGTCTCCAACGAATGGAAGATCTAGTACTTTCGAGCGAGAAGAGAAAATGAAGAAAGGTCCTCCCTCATGTACATAACTCAGAAATGGCAAGGGCTGTACATAACATTGATGAACGAAACAACAATTTTTGGTAACAAGTGACATTTTTCTCTACTGTATGCCTAACATAATCTGAAGTATGTGTTCTTATGTGAAATGCATGTGATATCCTGCTGAGTTAACTATGTGAAATTTTTTAGATTAAATTTAGATGACTTAAACACATCAGACCAAGTAATTGTCCTTCGAATTTCACAATAACTCGAACATTAGCGTTAGACTAAGTAACAGCGAATAAGGCTTGTGAAGATTAGTGCCCCCTTCATTTCAAACTCTTCCATACTCGGTAGGGCAAGCGGACCTATGTTTTTCGACTTTATTCATAAGAAAAAACTTGAAAAAAGAAGTCCTTAAATATGGTTTAAGACACAAGGTGAGGGAAGCAGGGAGGACCTATCATTACAAAGGAACTGAAAAGGCCTAGGCACGTGAGAATCAAATAAGATCTTGAGCAGACACAATGTTTGTTTAAAACTCTTGATCCAATAAAAAAAAAAATGATTCTCCGCACCCTTCAGCTGAAGGTTTCCTTGATCAAAAGAATATTCCCAGCTGAGCAAACAAAGTAGACGATACCGGAATAACTCCAATCGTGTTAAATCAAATGGCAAGCTGAATACTTATGGCTCCTTTGTTTCTATTTGAGGTTCACATTGCTCCAAATCATGGCACTGATTGTTAACAATTCTTGATTGCAGTTAACATAATAACTCTGCGGTCTTTTAATCTAGTTTGTTCGAGGACGAATAAAGGTTTAGTGTGAGGACGTTTGATGACTCCAAATATGAGCATATCCTTAGCTTGACAAAAGTGTGTATTACTCGAATTTCTGTATAAAAACCATCACAATAACTCGTTAATGGCATACATTATTGATCTATATCGCTTGGCATGATCCAGAGTTCATTGTTGAGATTATTAATGAATTTTGCCCTTTTTAAGCGGTAGTCTGTGCCAGAAAAACTAAGGCATGCGCCACAAGCGGTAGCCACCTCCGCTCACAACCGCTCAGAGTATCTCTTGGAAATAAAGACTAAGGCACGAGGGGCAAGCGGTAGCTTCCACCGCTCACAAGCGATAGCCTCTACTGCTTGCAAGTGACAGTCCAGACGCCCACCACTGTAGAATGTCACTAGAATTCGACTAAATGTTCCAACTACAGCAGTACAACCATTTCATTGCTAGCCAGCACAAGCGAGCTAAGCTGCGCTGATGCCCTTCAGCTCTCTAGCAATCGGGGAAGATCTGTGCCCTTACAATCCAATGCAAGCGAAGCGGGCGCTTTGGGAGTTATAGCAAGCAACTGTTTCAACAGAATAACTACCAGCAATCGCCTAACTGTCCAGCGGTTGGAACCGCCCAGCAACTGCTTGCAACCATCCCAATTCACCTACTATAAATAGGGTCAGATATCTCTATGTAAATAACTTCGATTTTGGAGTATTTTTGCCATTACTTTCTACGGAGTCCAGTTGTCTTCCTGTCTCCGAGAGCTCCAACCCTGTAAGGGAGTTCTCCACAAGAATGGCCAAGGGAGTAGGGATTTCCCTCCTCCCTTGGCCAAATCTTTACTGCTTTCTTAGATTAGATTACTGTTTTCAATTACAGCTTTGTAGTTCTAGTCTTTCCAGCTTTAGTAGTAAGTAATGAAATGTCCTTCAGTTCTTCATCTACATCTCCTCCACACTTTATTCATATTTATATAAACCTTGAATTTAAAGATTTCCTTTCACTGGTTTAGAGCTCGAGAAGAATTGGCTAATTGAGCCTGTCTTTTGCCAAAAGCGGTTTCAAGGTAGTTCAACGTAGTTAAGTATGCGGGAGCCTTGTCGACCTGCTTAACTACTGTTCTGAATTCAATTCTGATTAAAAAGATGTAGCAGAAGGGTAAAGCCACTAATGAGACAGAAATTGGGATAATTAATAGGGCATAGACGGTGGTCTATTAGGTCACAGAGATTCCTAGTGACAGTAGGGTTTCTTTCTTATAATATGGCGATTCTGGCTGTCATTGAAGTCTTATTGTAAATACCTTAAGGTCAAAATCTAGTGTTAAGAATTCTTTATATTTCAGTTTATATAATTACATCATCTCTCTCTCTAACCGTTTCCGTAATATATATATATCTTCGTTAACACACTTACACCATTCGCTCATTATATCCAGGGGAATCTATCCATTTAGTAACACACAAGTCAGACACAACACCTCTCCTTCATTCTCTGTCGCTAACTTATATATATATAGAAACAATTGTGCCATTCGCTCATGTCCTGTTCACTCGGTAACCGCCATTCATCCATGTCCCGATCACTAGAGTTCCGCCTCCATTCATGTCCCGATCACTCGATTTCCGCTTCCGCTCATGCCCCATTCACTCGGTTACCGCTGGCACTTCACCTTACGCCTCCGCTTCGCTCGCTTCCGCTCACCCCTTTTTACCGCTTTCGATAGGATTAGGAATTTAGATCAGCTGCAAAACGGATCCTTTCCTGCAGTTTTCGTCGCTTTTTCGAGATCTTCACATTTTGAAATTCTTGACTTCAAATCCTTGTGTTCGACCTGGAAACTCACCAGTAAAAAGAGTATAAATAATTGTGATAACTACTCAGGGTCTACAACCACAAATATTACTATATCTGATCGTTTTTCTATAAACATTCACCCACTGATTTTTCGTATATAAATTCCCTGTGAATTTGCATAAAATACTAATTACAAATTTTAGTTATCAGATACCATATGACACGGCCCGACCGTGTATAATTATACTCAATGTATTTTTTCTTATCCACAAAGTTCAATAGAACAATGAATTAAGAATATGGATAAAAGAAAAAAGAATGAAGAAGAAAGAAGAAAGATAGTGCAGAGAATGTGAATTAGTGTGGATGATAACCAAGCACGAGAATAAGTCTCGGACCTGAAATCAAACCGTAAGCTAAAACACAAACAATAGGCTAAATCCCATTGCAAATGATCGGAAACCATGAATCGGTAAGTCACTCCCTAATACTAGAAAATTATAAATGTTAAATTTGATTCAAGATGTAAAAAATATTCTTATTACAAAGACAGACAAGGACCTTATATAGAGGTCCTTGAGATAATAAAAGATAACAAATCATAAATGAAACAAATCAAAAGGTAAGTATGACTATAATGAAATAAATAATAAGGAAAGTTCTAAATATGAAATTATACTATATGAAAACTTATAAGAAAAGAAAATTTATATTAAGGTAACTTTTAGAAGCTTTCATAAGTGATAATTCTCTTGATAATCTTTCATAATTTGTAATTCTCTTAATAATCTTTCATAATTAGCGATTCTCTTGATCTTTCAATTTCGATTCTTACGGGTCCCATTAAAGGAGTGTCAGATGAGAGCTAAGTGGTCTTCAAGCATCATCTTTAAATTGATTCTCCATGAAAAATCGTCAGGTCAACCTAGTGATGGATTCTTGAAACTAACGAGCTTGACTTCGAGTGATGGGTCCCACGGGCATTTGAATCCTTGAAAATTGGACATCCTCGTCACTATTTGTATATAAATATAAGACTGTTCAAATATATTCTAGTTATTTGCCCTATATAGTGCTAAATGAACGTTAAAATGTTTGTATTCATATTGTTATTCATTCATTGAATTTACAAACGAATTTATATTTATATTTATATGACCTGTCATTTGAATATAAATTATGTGTTATTTGTATCTATTTAAATATATTTACACTCAATTTTACTAGGTTTCTCCTCACTACTTATTCTTTCTGTCTTCTCCCTTTATTACTCAAATTTCTGATTTATACTAAAACATTTTCATCTTCATTTGTTTTCCTCTCATTTGTTTATCTATTTATTTTTTTGTCTTCTTTCAAATGTTCTTTAAATCTCTATTTTCTTTTCCATATTTACTGTCAATTATTCTTCAAATATTTGTTTCATATTTGAACATCTTCATCTTCATATTCCTCCATCTTCCTTAATCTTCCTCCATATCTCATTTGCTCTTCATCTTTGATTTATTCATATCTTCTGGCAGTTGTTTATCTCGGCTTCTTATCGTGTCTTTATTATTTCTCTTTAAATGACATTTTTGTCCTAAATGATATGATTAATCTTTAATCCAACGGAAAAATTAGTGATGTTTGTATAATAATAAGGAAAAATTGTCATAACTCTCTTGTGGTTTCGAAATTCAACGTAAATATCTCGTTTCCTTTAAAAATTGTGTGACACCCCCTTATACTTTAAAAAAGTTGCATAAAATCCGTTTATGATTTCAAAACTTAGTATAAATCTCCACTTTTATTTTAAAAAGTGCATAGCGCCCCCTTAATGCAAGAGGGGTTTCATGCAACGTTTTTAAAAGTATAAGGGTGTTTCATGCAATTTTTAAAGTAAATGGAAGATTTACGCTGTGTTTCGAAACCACAAGAGAGTTTTAGACAATTTTCCTTTCTTTTAAATAAAAATAGATACTCCCACGGTCCCAGAAAAGATATCTTGTTGGGAGTTGACACGAGAATTAAAGAATAATATTATTTAATTAAAAGTGGATATACAATAGAATGTAAAAAACTAAACTGCCCTTACTTTTTGAATAATTTTAAAAAGTATGTTACAATAATCATCAGGGGTAGTTTGGAAAAATAAGAATATTTTTGTTTTTTTTTTGTTCTTTTTTTACTATATAGCACGGTTACTAAATAAGGAAACATGACAATTGTTTTGAGACGGACGAAAATAGAAAAATAAGACAACTCTTTTGGGACGGAGGGAGTATATGATACCACCTCTGTCAAAAAATACGGTAAAAATTCTTATAATTCTCCCGTGGTTTTGAAATTCAGCATAAAATCTCCTTATACTTAAAAAATTGCATAACACCTTATTATACTTTCAAAAACATTGCATGAAACCCCACCACCATTATAACTCTCTTGTACGATGAAAAGATGATTTCCTAACGTATGTTTTGCATGACGGAGGATTTCATGCAATATTTTTAAAAGTATAAAGGGGCACTAGGTAATTTTTTAAAGTAGAATGGAAATTTACGCAAGTTTTAAAACCACATTGGGGTTTCATGCAACAATTTTTAAAATATAAAGGGGCGTCATGTATAGGGGGATTTACGTTGAGTTTCGAAACCATAAGGGAAATATGAGCAATTTTTCCAAAAGAAAAATAGACTCGTATACTTATAGGCTATAGCACAATTTTAATGTGATGTATAATTTTTATTATTTTTTTTTGTCTTTTATTGTAAAAATTAATGAATTTGTTCACCCAATGTTTTTTGGTGGCACAAGTTCTCGTAAATCCTACTTCCTCTGTCCCGGTGCAAGATTGCCGGACAAAAATGGAAAATGACAACATTTAAATGGGACAGAGGGAGTATAAAAAATACAATATATATTCATATTAACACATTATATGTAATATATATATTATTCTTATAAAAATTAATAAGTCAGCACAAGATATTATTTTTTATATTATCGATACGATTTATCATACCTAACGTAAAAAAATAGATTCATCCAAAAACACCAAGGGAACAAATTATTTTATGTGAGGAATAAAAAATTATGTAAGTAATATAAAAATAATGAATATTGTGGCATGTCTATCCGCATAATATGACTGACTTGAACCACTGATGTTATCTATCTCCACTTATTTAAATTGGAATACATCATAATAATGCTAATATAAATCTCTTTCATCTTCGATGACCATATTATGCAAAATGATGCATGTCCTCATTATATTACCAATTGAATCAATATGTCAAATGAGTGACAGACGTCGAATAATAGTAAATCGAGCTTGTAAAACACTAAAAGCGTGTTCTACATCATTTCGAGCAACTTCTTGATGTTATACAAATAATTGCATCTTAAGTTTTTAGGCAAACAAATAGATTGAATAAATGTAGCCTATGAAAGATATATTTCATTCATAAGATAATACTTTATACTATATTGGTGACCATTGACAATAAAATTTACTTATGAACTTTTATAATTCAAAATGTCATTAAATATTATATTAATATTGTCTCAGAGAATGTATTTTTTTGGAAAATATGTTTTTAGCAAAAGGAATACACTTTTTTATGATAGATAAACATAAAAATGAGAAATAAACCAATTTCTTTTTATGACAATGGAATATAATTTAAAAAAAATTAATATAAATGAATAAGGCAAAAATTTAATAATAAAAAAAGGGGACATCTAAATCGAACCATACTTAATTGAACACCATCAAGATATAATGGCATAGAGAAATTTAAGCAACCTAGTATACACTTGGAAGCTGTTATTAATACAAAACCCCCATATTCTAAAACTATGATTATGGCATTTACAAGACCTACATAAAATATACAATTAATCTAAAATTTCAGAAATGGAGGCGGTAGACAAAACTTGTGATTCATAATTATATTAAACGAATCATGTAATTTGTACAAGTATTATTTTACACATGCTAACAATATATATAAATAAATTTATATCTTCCCCCGCGAATAAATAATGTAGTCGAAAAATTGTATAGTTTTTGAAGCACAAAACTGCAGTGAGTAGCTAACTAACCAGTGCCACTCTGCCCATTCATTCAGCAGCGGCCGGAGACGTCCAGCCCCTCCTCGTCAATCAATAAATCTTCCAACGCCGCTAGCGAATTCAGCTGGCGGCCAAGCGATGCGATCGTCTGTTGGCACTCGAAGAATTTACGGGAAGCTATGGCCATTTCTTTATCCTGCAATGGCAATTCATATCTCAAAATCACACAAAAAAGGGCGCCAGCTTAAAACTAAACCGATCTCTGACCAAAGACAAACCTGGTTGATTCTGAACTCCTCCAATATGGATGATCTCTGGGAATCGTACTCGACTTTTGTCCTTGACAGTTCGGCTTCTAGTTTGTTGCACTTTTCGACGGCTTCCCTGTAAACAATTCTCTCTTCTTCAATTTCTTTCTTCAAGCGATCTAATTCAACTTGTGTTGATTCGAGTTGCGACTCTGCCTTCTCCTTCCTTCGATTGGCATTGTCGAGTTCTATGCTGACAATGTCCTTCATTTTGTTCGCTTTCTCCAACAGGTCCTTGATTTGTATCAGGTTTGCTTCTGCATTTCGCTTTGCTTCAACCTCCAGAGCCAGCTGTTTATTCAACTCCACCTCTGTTTGCTTGCGTTGATCTTCTGAAGATTGGAGTCGAGTTCGGCACTCGTCCAGAGCAATCTCGAGGCTCTCTTTCTCCCCGGTTATCTTCCTCAAGTTATCTTCCAGTTCGGCTACCCTGTTAATCAAAGGTTCCATATCATCTTTCAAACAATTTTGTTGATCTCCACAAGTGCTGTGATTCCCGGTCTCGTATAAGGATGCAAGCCTCTCCATCTCAAGAAAATCATGCATCAAATCGATCCCCATGGAAGGAATAACTGAACCATGTTCAACGCTAATGTCGGACTTACATTGTCCTAAGTGGGCATGGCATGGATCAACAAATGACCTGAACCCACCATTTTTACGGCTGTCATTTGCGACAACTTGTGCCCTTTCCCCACTATCCGACTGACTGTCGGTGAAGGATTCGACATAAACAGAAGAGGCAGCAGTTGACCGGTAATCATCAGTACCTGCTGCTTTACGAGCCACTGCCTGTAACCTGCGGCATTCTGCTTCAAGTCTCGCAACTTTCTTGATGCTCTCGAGATGTTGCTTGCTAGCATTTTCAGCAGCAAGAATGCTCAACTCTTTCTCACGGGCCACTAATTCCAACTTATCAGCTTTTTTAGCGAGCTCAAGCTTAAGGATGGAGTTCTCTTTCTCAGAAACATGTAGCCGATAAAGGGCATCAGCAAGCACAGGGTTTCCAGCTTCGGTTTTGGCAGATTCGAGTTTATTACGCAGCTCAACAAGCTCATTTTCAAGCTCGGACTTGTTCACATCCCATTCGTTGCTTTTCTTGACAACATCATATATCTTCTCTTCTTGCTCCTCCCTCGCCTGACGGAGCTGCCTCAAGCACTCCTTGAGGGCTCCATCGAGATGGCCTACACGCTCCTCAAGGATTGAGTTCTTCTGAGTTAAGGCATCGATTTGTTTCTTCAGGGCCGAAACTTCATTCTCAGCCCTTTCCCATCCTACAATATTGAGAGTAGACAAACGTTCAACACTAAGCCTATGTCACATGAATGAAGGCAAAACAAAGAATACCCGAAACAGCTTCCTCGGCAACTTTAGCATGCTGGTTGACCAACTCTTCCTTAGCCCGTAAGTTCTCAAGTGCTTCTGATAGTTTCTCGGAGAGGGTCTTCAGACTTTCATCGAGTTCTTGGTCATCTCCTTTAGATGTGACTTCAGGAGAGTGAGTGTTAACATTGGACAGAGTCTGTGCCGCAATGAACCATAAAGCAATTAACCTTACATTGCAAAAACATCCCCATCAAAACTCATATTCTTCTCAGAACAATTGTTTGCAACAGATGCTATAGAATCAGTCAATCATATATCACTTCTTCCTATCATGTATTCTTCCATTTACAAACTTAAAGCAGAAAATACTACAGCATTTTACTACTAAACCAACCAACATGGGATAAGGCTATCTGTTATGCATCAAAGATGTGCGAGTGGAAGAAAAAGTGTGTCCAGTCGAGGCACACGAAAGACATACATACATAAATACATACATACATACATACATACATACATATGCATCTTTGTGTCATAGAAAGAGCACCCACATCAATTCTCAATAATTGAATGAATACAACCACACACACTTGATGTTGTAGCTGGAGAAAAAAAAAGACTTACGGGGAAAAAGTAAGAAATTGTCAGCTGTGGACCTATCTATGGCCATGGCAATGGCAGGCAGCCAGCGGACATCCACATAACGTGGTCCATGTTAATCAGGTTCAGGATAAACCAAACAAAGAGTGATAATGGAATGCTTGCTCAATCTACAAGATTCATCGATCTTTCATCAAATTCATCTTAACTTTTTACACTTACATAACATAGTTGGAGGATCAGACGTTAGAGATCTAATGAATCAACAAATGTAATGTTTTTCTATGATCCTGCTGTCTATGATAACGCATCATAAGAGGAATCCGAACAGTGATCAGATGGAATTTCAATGGCAGCGTAGATCAGAAATACCTGATCATCAGAGAATCTCTCCGAGTGGGACGACAATGATCCGGAGCTCTCCGTTTCGCCACCGCCACCGCTCTTCTCCAAAGACTTCCGCCGCCACAGCCAACTCCTCCTGTCCATCTAGAGGGCGGGCGACGTAATTACTCCACGGAATTCAGACAACGGAACGAAAACTGAAGGAACGAACAAAACAACGACGAACAGGGAATTCACATCATAAAAAATTCCAACCTGAGAGATGAAGGGACTGCAGTGAAGCTCAGCCCACCGATAAAATAAAGGGTAGTAGAATCGAATTCTGGCCAAGGGTCAGCTCAATCTTTGCTTAGAATCTAATCCGATACACCAAACCCAACCCAATCCACTTCACCTCAATCGATGGATGGATGGATCAATCAATCAATCAAAAAGCAGAGCACGTTTGAATAACCCTGAAAAGAGTAAGCATACCATGAAATGAAATAGGAGGGGATTAAAGTAAAACAAATCGATTGGGGGTCGGGGCCATAAGGCATTCATTCATTCATTGTGAAGGCAGAGAAAGCAATTCGGACAGCTACGGTGATGGGCACCTCTCAATTCCCCCACCATCGTCGTCACTGATCGAAAATGATTGAAGGTGTTGGGTTGGGGGACGGTCTACTGTTCCTTTAAAGCTCCGGGGAAATTTTGGGCACAGGCACGGCCCCTATAAATAACCCCCCTCCCTCCCCCTTACGTCCCTTCCCTTACATAAAAAGCGTGACCCACGTAATCATTACCTTTATCTTCCCCAGAATTACAAGACCCGCAGATACAAATAATTCACAGCACCAACGAGAAACCCCCCTTCTCTCTCTCTCTCTCTCTCTCAGAAAAGCCACCTTACCTTACCTTCCCATACCTTACCTTTCTGTGTTGCTCTAAATTCGAAATCAGACTCACAAAAACGCAACGCCTGATTATAGAGAGAAAAATTAGCACCGATTCTGATTCGTGTAAGTGTAGTGTTGGTGGTGGGGACAGCAGATTTTTTTTATTATTTATTTATTTTATTTATAAATTGGAAAATAATATCTTTGAATTGTGGAAGTGTTATGGAGGAAGAGACAAAGGAGTGAGTTGAATTATTTGCTTGCCTGTTTTTTTAAAATCACGATTTGCTGCGGTATTCGCGCGGCGGTTCCGGGAATGGTATGGCCGTATGGGAATGTGGCGACTGCACGTCATGGGTCGGACGGATATTCTTCTCTTTTGTCTCTTTCCATTCTATTTCTATATTTGACGGACGATTTTTGTCAATGCTTTTCATTAATCAACACAACACAACACAACAGGGGTTGTCTACTAGACTATTTATGTGCTCGGTATTTTCTTACTCTTCAATTCGCCATTGCTAGCTATCATTAACTATTCATGGTGATTGCAAAATGGGTGCTGTACACTAGAGTAGAGCAGACGGGCTCTTGGTATGCTGCTGATCAACTATTAAGTTCAATACCATATTAAATTAATTTGTTCTATTAATTTTTTTTTTTTTTTTTTATGGTAACTTTGATTTATATTCGTATAAGCTAATTCACTCCCTACAGACTAACAGTGGCTGCACTTCCTACTTTTGCATAATAATTACACTCAACTTCCTACTATTCAATTTGTCCCTGAAATAATGAGTTAGTGTAACGAAAATTTTATAGACTTCGGTTGATTTTTATATAAACTTACGTTTTCTAATTATATATTCTAAAATTATTCCGTTGTACAAATATAATTTCCAAGTAATGTACTCAAATTTTTTATTTATGTGAGTGTCTTCCAGTGTCTTTGTTATGCCTTAGTTGTTAATTAATGTCTCAAATAAAATATTAATTACCTTCGTAGTTATGTCATAAACTTGTATTTGTTTTGGGTATACTCATGAAGACATGTCTTTGTTTTGAAATGATGGCAGACTAAAAAAAGAATACAAATGGCTTATCTTCAAATTCTTTATACATTTCGTCTATACAAATATTGCTAAATTTAAAGTTGTGATGAACGATAAACCATTGAAAGATCTACAACTCGCACCGTTTGGGTATTTTTTAAATTGTCCAAAAAAAAAGCTACATTAGCATCGGTTGTGACCGATTTATCATGCAAAATGAATTTTTTAACTATTGAATATGTTTGATGATTTCTCTATCACATTGTTGGTTGTTCATATATTTATTTTTTCGACTTATAAAAATTTTGTTCATTATTATTATTGTGCGTTAATGCTTCCAAAAACTTTTAGTTACAACAAATAATATATAATGTGTATCATGATTTTCAATTGGCATTCCTCTATAAGAAAATTACATACCTATATAGTTATGTCATAAACTTGAATTTGTATATACTCTTGTAGGCTTATGTATGTGTTTTAAATATTGTCACACCGAATGTGATAGCCAAGATTGTAGGCCACTATATGTATATTGCCTGAGAGTTATACTTATGCAACACAAAAACGTATCCGCCTAGCAGACGAGCTATCGAATTTGATGATATCAAAACATGTTGAACAAAATTTATTGTAAAAATTTCATCAGGAGACTCTGGAGGGATTTTCTAGTATCATTATCGGATTTGTATGTTAATTTACATGCAAGAATTGAAAATAATTGAGGTTTGAAGCATATGATTGTCAAATTGGAGTCATTAGTCATTGATATTATATTTTGCCAAACACTTTAAGAATCATCGTAGTTTATAATTTAACATATGATATGTGTGGTTCTCTATAAGTATGAACGTTTAATTAGAGATACGTACATAATGAATTAAAAAATATACTTTGGTGCGCAAAATTTCATAGTTAAACGTGGAGAAACCCTTAAATTTGAACAATATACCCCCCGCAAAGACATATTTCCTTATTTAAATTATTTACATACTTCTGATACGATTTCATGTGCTCTTATTGAAGAATAGGTTTTATAAGTAACTATGTACATATTTGACATGTAGTAAAAAGACATGTAATCACCATACTATCCTGAAAGCATCGATGGGCACATTCAATGTACACTTTAATGACAAATACTTACCTATAGTATGGATAGTTATAATATGTCTCATATATAATATTTACTTCGCATACCTTTTAAAAAATTTGTTCGTTGGGATATTTTTTCCAGTTTACAAAATGCTAACATCGACAAAGCCAATAAAAACTGTAAAGACTGAGACATATCTCATTAGTTATCCATTAATATATAAATGATCTATATGTTATCCTACAAAATTGGAAATGATATATATATTTTATATGTTTTCCTTAATTACAGGGCTTATCCTACAAAACTGAAAATGAGTTAACATGGACAAAGCCAATAAATGAGTGTAAAGCTAATAAAGAATGTAAAGACTAATAAAAAGTGTAAAGACTGAGACATATCTCAACATATAAATGATTTATCCTACAAAATTGGAAATGATCTATATATTTTATATGTTTTCCTTAATTACAGGGCTTGATTTTATCTTTATAAATAATGAAATTAATCTCATAATTAATTATGGTGACAAAATGACAATTTTATCCATTAAATTAATATGAACTATTGATCTATTTTATGATCGAATGATTATAATTAATTCAACATGGTGCTGAAATATAAGTTTAGCACCATACCGGAACCAAGAGCATATGCACTCTTGTTCTTAAATGCTAGTATTTAACTTGTAAGGGATTGGTGTGGTTTGTGTGGTTTAAAGCCATACCATTTTTTTTTCTGGGATAATTTGGGAATCCGCAGTCGCTATCCTTTAGATGTGCTCTGGGTAAACTTTCGGCCGAGCCTACAACCTGTAAACTAGACCCGAGATAAACCTTTGACCGAGCTTAATAGCCTGCAAACTAGACTCGACAAGACAAGTCACACTAGGCGAACCGTGTGTGATAGGCAAGACTTGAAAGTGTCGGGATTTAAACCCATGACCTCACGGTCATGAGTCCATCCCCACACCACCAGGCCATCCTTTATGAGATTTTTTTTTATTGAAAATACTTTTGTTAGCATTTTAAAAGTAAATTGCATTCATATTTTCAAAATTTTGTATTAAAACTCTTGTGAAGAAATTTTTTAACAATAATGTGTTTTCAAGACGCGGACGTACAAAGGCCTTCTGAACCACTTGACCAATTATCCGAAGCCGAGCTCGTAAACTTCAAGATCAATTTTCCGGCTTAACTCGAGAGCTCGATCTGAAAAATATAAACAAAGATGAAGCATGAAGACCTATCGGCCCGAACCTAACAGTTATACAAGCTCAAATATGATAATGTCATTGCTTATATCATAAGCATTGATATCATTGCTTACATCACATGTGATGATGTCATTTCTTACATCATAAGCATTGACATAATTGCTTACGTAAATGTTTTTTGGGAATGTACTACCATTAACTGCAATCTTGAAAATATATTATTTTAGGAATATGTTGTCATTATTGTGATATTGGTAATATATTTTTGAAAACATGTAGCAATTATGTATATTGGAATATATTCTCCATGAAAATGTATTGTCAATTCAATTATAGTAAGTGTTTTGTCCCTTTCCCTTTGGCCTCTATATAAAAGCCCTTATATTCATTTCCATATCAACTTTTGTTATGATATCTTTTTGTTCCTTTTGAAAACTTGTGTTTTTCATTGTGTTTACTTTCAGAGTGTGAGTGAGTGATTTCTTGCACAATATTTTCAAATCGGGTCTTTGGAATTATCCATTGGTTCGTGGCTTCTAAATTCTTGTAGATGAATTAAGCCTATCAGTTTGTTCTTTTCCCATAATTAGGATTTTAGGTCCAAGATTAAATTCTTGAGGTTCTTAATCAACTAGGTTGGGTATCAATTTTATGTTCTATCTTATTTATTTTCTTTATCGATTTTTTTACATTGATTAAGGTTATTCTTCTTTAACCTGGGAAAAATATACGAACCCACACGGGTTATGTCATTTTGGTATTTGAGCTAGTTAGCTCGAGCTTCTACACTTAGTGTTATTCTTTTTCTTCTCAAAAAAAAAAAATCTGCATAAGAAAAAATAATGAAAAAAAAAATTACAAAAGTTTGTACTAATAAAAAAGCAGCACACTTGCTTGTTTGTTCTATTATAGCTTATGTATTTTCCATCACAAGTATTTTTTGTTTTCTTTTTTTCCCATTTCATTCTAGTTATTTGTAGTTGCTTTCACTCTCTTGATTTTTTTGTCACATTTTTGGAAATATTTCACCGATCTAATTTGTTCTTTATGCAAGACAGAGAGGTATAATACGTAATGAGTGAAACACAAGAGTTATGAGGGCTTATTTTCTAACTAATCTATACATATATTTCCATATTATTTTTTCTAATGGCAGGAGAGGATGGCACACATATTCAAAATGTAGATGCTCAAAGCCTCTTGAACTTGGTGATTAGAAGAAATTACACTATATTACACTCGAAGTGCTTAATGACTGCATGTATAAGTTAGAGTTCAACCAACAACGACAAGGTACTCCACATGGTTCCGAAGTCATTGACGAGGAAGGTGTTCATAAAGGGGGAGTTAAAAATAACACCATTCGAAGAGAAGTCCCAGATCTCCGATGTAATCTTCGTGAACCAAGGAGGCACGAATATGAATATGAGGATGAAGAAGAAGAGTTAAATGATGAACTCCCATGACGGAGGCCACATAACCCCGAAAAAGGTATGATGATGAG